GGTTCTGGCCCAGTTTACCTGCTGGAAGGTATTTATTTATTTATTTATTTTATTTACTGTCCTTGTATACCGCCGTTTCTCAGCCTAATTGGCGACTCAACGCGGTTTACAACAAAATATACAGTGCACAGTATACAATTAAAACCATAAAAAACATAATACACAATATTACACAAAATCACAATCCAATACATCTCCTAACTAAAATCGTGGTCCAATTGCATCATCCATATTACCAATCCGTAATCAACACATTCATTGCACCGAATTAGCCAAATGCCTGCTTGAACATCCAAGTTTTTAGTCTTCTTCGGAATACCATCTCTCCTTATGAACCATCTAGGACTCTAGGTTCTTCAGGGGAGGCCCTGCTTTCAGTCCTGCCTCCTTCACAGATGTGTTTGGTGGGAATGAGAGACAGGGCCTTCTCAGCAGTGGCCCCTCAGCTATGGTACACCCTTCCCACGGATATAAGATTGCTGACATTCTATAAAAAGGTTAAAACCTGGCTCTTTGAGCAAGCTTTTGCTCATGTAACATAATCAGGTAAAGATGAAATTATGAAACGACTTGACGATGTAATCTGGATAACGATTTTAGTAAGGAGACGCTGTTGACTATGTTTCTGTGGCTTCGTATGGTTTTATATTATATGCTATATGTTTTAATTCTATTTATATTTGTTTTTAATTGTACTTTTATAATTGTGGAGGCATTGAATTGTTGCCGACTGTGAACTGCCCTGAGTTGCCTCCGGGCTGAGAAAGTGTGGTAAATAAATAAAAAATATATTGTCGAAGGCTTTCATGGCTGGAATCACTGGGTTGTTGTAGGTTTTTCCGGGTTATATGGCCATGTTCTAGAGGCATTTTCTCCTGACGTCTCGCCTGCATCTATGGCAAGCATCCTCAGAGGTAAATAAATAGGTAAATAAATAAGTCAAAGGGAGGAGGGAGCAAGTTTGTTTTCTGTTGCCCTGAAGACTGGGATGCAGAACAATGGCTTCGAGCTACAGGAAAGGAGATTCCACCTCAACATGAGGAAAAACTTCCTAACTGTGAGAGCTGTTCAGCAGTGGAACTCTCTGCCCCAGGGTGTGGTGCAGGCTCCTTCTTTGGAGGCTTTAAACAGAGGCTGGATGGCTATTTGTTGGGGGTGCTTTGAATGGATTTTCCTACTTCTTGGCAGAATGGGGTTGGACTGGATGGCCCACGAGGTCTCTTCCAACTCTAGGATTTTATTAGGGGTTAGCATAGATTAACCTCCAGTTTGCTAGTAAAACTGAATGGCTGTGTCATGAAAGGAGGCGGCATGTCTAAAACATGTGTCTCCAACATAGAAAGTTTGGAAAGCTCTGGTCTAGAAACTATAAATCCCAGTCAAGGGCAGCTTAGGGTGCTGGGGATATTTCACTTGGAGAAGCAAAGGCTGAGAGAAGGAAATGTATTCAGATTTTGTCTTCTAAGCCAGAGTCCCGATTCCATGTTTGCACCAAACAGGCATGATTTCGGATCTCCACTCGCTCTTGAGGCCCATCCGGCTTCCTCTCCGAAAGAACGAACAACTGCAGGAGAGAGAACGAGAGAGAGAGAGAGGGAGGGAAAAGCAAGTGTCACGAACGCCAGCATTGTATTGGAGCGCCGGAGTGATTTGTTCCCACTTTCTCTCTCAACGAGTCTTTTTATAAAGAGAGTTAAGGGAGGCAGCGCTGTCAGGGAAATCTTATTTCCTCGCCCGGTGATGGATGAGCATGCTTTGCTCCAGCAACGCTGAGCGGAAAGAGAGGCTTATGCAATCGTGGGGTTGGGTCTACACTCTGGATCAAATGCAGTTTTGTCCCCACTTGAACTGCCCTGGCTCAGGGGGAGGGAACCACGGGATGTGTAGTTTGGCAGGGAACTAGCACTATTGGGCAGAGAAGTTGGAAGAGATCTCAGGGGCCATCCAGTCCAACCCCATTCTGCCAAGAAGTAAGAAAATCCATTCAAAGCACCCCTGACAGATGGCCATCCAGCCCCTGTTTAAATCTCCAAAAAAGGAGGCTCTGCCAGACTCCAAGGCAGACAGTTCCACTGTTGAACAGCTCTTCTTATGATCAGGAAGGTCTTCTTAGCCTTCAAGTGGAATCTCCTTTCCTCTCATTTGAACCCATGGCTCCAATGAGTCCTAGTTTCCAGTGCTAAACAAGCCTGCTCCTTTTTATAATAATAATAATAATAATAATAATAATAATAATAATAATAATAGTAATAATAATAATAATAATAATAATAATAATAATAATAATAATACACTTTATTTATAACCTGCCACCATCTCCCCAAAGGGGACTCGGGGCAGCTAACATGAGGCCAAGCCCAAAATAATACAACATAATAAACACACAATAAAAATACATCATAACAAAATATGAAATAACAAAATCAACTCTATATATATATATATATATATATATATATATATATATATATATACATACACCTTCCAGATAGCTCTCATGTCTCCTCTCAACCTTCTCTTCAGAGTCTAAATAGACCCAGCTGTTTAAGCAGCTCCTCAGAGGGACTCATGGTCTCCTAACTTTACATCCTTTTAGTTGCCCTCCTGCCCTTGCGCTGTGCTACTCTGCTGCTGAGTATGCATGCCCAGTGTGGAACACATCTCACCACACTAAA